TGAAAAACTTCTTAATTTTTTTTTATTTTTTCCATTTTTTACTTCCTTTTTTATATTTTTTTAATATTTTCTTCTTTTCTTACATTTAAAAAAATTACATCTTTTATTTTTTACTTTTTTAAGTTTTTACCGTTTTTATTTTTTTTTAAGTTTTTTATTATTTTTTGCATTTGTGTTTCTTTTTTATGTGTTTTTTGTATATCCATGTATTTTTTGACGAATACCAAACACCTTGTAGTGTCACTGACATTAATAAAGTCATTATTATTATTATTACAATTTTTGTTTATTTTTTTAATTTTTTTATTTTTTTTTTTAAATTTTGTGTCAAAACAATTTGAAAAATCAGTCGAAATTTCATTAATTTTGGAGTATTTTGCTCGATTTATTTCATTTTCTACCCAAATTTTGTTAAAAGAAGCCAAATATTTTGCCTTTTTTTAACTTTTTCCATCGTTTTGATACACTTTTCTAAGAAAAACACACTTTTTTTTCAAGAAATTAAATTCAACACTGTTTTTTTTTTTTTAATATTTGAACACGATTTTTGCACAAAAATGCACTTCTTTATAACTTCTTTAATAACTAAATTGAACGAAATTGATAATAATAATAACAATAATAATAATAAAGTTAAAAATAAAGTTAAAGTTATTATTTTTTTTTATAATAATAATAATAATAACTTTAACATTTTGTTATTTGTTGTTTAGTGAGTGGTGAGGGTGTTTTTTTTGGGGGGTTTACCGGTTCGCCGTGACTGATGTCATGGGCCATTGCATGGGCGACTCGGATCACGTCCTGTTTGTGCACCACGGCGGCGACGTCTTCGACGGCTTGTTGGACAGCGGCGTCGTCGACGTCGCGATGACTTGTTGTTGTGGTTATTGAGTTGCTTACGATGTCGAAAGTCGAGCTTCCAGTCGGCGAGATTATTGTTGTCTGGAATATTTTAAAATCTGTGATAATGTCATTTTGACGTTTTAAAATGTCAAATTTGTCAAAAATGACATGTGAATTGATTATCTAACCTCACTTTGACGTTTTTTGAAATGTCCAAATTTGACATTAAAGCCTGTTTCACAATAAAGTGTCAAAAATGACAGTGAAATGGCCCACTTTGAATCACTGTTTTTTGACGTTTTAAAATGTCAAATTTGACGTTAAAGCCTGTTTCACAGTGAAGTGGCAAAAATTTAATGTCTTATTTTTTTGGAGTTAAGAGAAAACGGTTCAAAGAATGAACTAACTTTTTTACTTCATTATAGATGTAACAAAAAACGATTTGGCTCGTTTTTGAGTGAAATTTTAACAAAACAAACTGAAAATCGAACAATTTCGGTCGAAAATTACATTATTTTTGCAACAACAGACCAAAAATTACAAAATTTTGCAAAAAGTAATCTTTTTTCTCGAAAGTTCGCTCTAACAAGCCGAAATATCACCAAAATAAGGTCAAAAATGGTCTTATTTTTGCTTTTTTTGTATGTTTTTGAGCAAAAAAAAAATAATTCGCCAAATTGGAATAAAATTGATCTTATTTTGGCTTGTTTAGCTCGATTTAGCTTGTTTGTGAGTTAGAAACGCAAAATTTCTGAAAAAAAATCATGTTTTTACTCGCAAGAGCACTTTTCTTGCGAAATTTCTCTCAAACAAGCCAAAAAACGATGTTAATTTTGCACTTTTGAGCTAAAAACTCAGTTTTTTTCACCAAAATAACGTGTAAAATCAGCAAATTAGATTGAAAATGATGTAATTTTTACCGAGTTTTTCTTCATGAAATCTTATGAAACGGACCAAAAATGACAAAACTTTGAAAATTCGTTATAATAAACCGTAAAATATGTCACAATTAACACATTTTTTAAATAAAATTTTAATAATAATAAAAAAAAAATGCTTAAAAAATGAGAGAATTATCAATTTGTACTTTTTCAAAAATATCGAAAAAATTATGCTCAGAAACGCGAAATTTCGCTCAAACAATCCAAAAATGATGCTATTTTTGTCTTTTTCAAACATTTAGGAGTGTTTTTTAAGACAAAAACTCATTTTTTTCGTGAAAATAAGCCAATAAATCATCAAATTAGAACAAAATTGACCTTATTTTGGCTTGTTTAGCTCGATTTAGCTTGTTTGTGAGCTAGAAACGCAATTTTTTCACGAAATTTCGCTGAAAAACATCGAAATTAGATCGAAAATGGTGGTATTTTACCTTTTTTGAGCATTTAAACACGTTTTTGAACGGAAAACCGAAATTTTTCTTACGAAAAGTCACTAAATTAGATTTATGAATAAAAAACCTGACTCAATTTTGGCGAATTTAGCCTCAAAAATTACCCTTTCCTCCGGTAGCGACTCATCCTCCATATCTTCATCATCAAAATTACTGATTTTCTTCCCTAAAACCGCCTCGACTCGCTTCTTCTCCTCCCTCAACTCCGACCTCTCTTTCTTCCTCTGTTCTTTTCGTTCCTTCTCTTGCAATCTCTGTCTCTCTCTCTCCGCTTGCTTATTGGTCACTTCCGATTTATATTTATCCAAAATGGCGGCTTCGGCTTCAGTTGTCATTGCTAGAAGTGATCCAGGTGTCTCATCTTTTGATCTTAAAGCTTGAATGTAATCATCCATTAATTGACCGATTTTCGTTGCCAATTCTGGATATCTTTTTAACATTTGCATACTTTGATTAACTGTACGATCAATGTCGGTTAAGCGTTCGAGGATGCGCGGTTGCTCACGAGATGCCGCTTCTAAGCTACTCGCCAATAGATGGCGATAGTGGTTAATGGCGTGCGCGCGATCCTTGTGGAGGGAACGGAGGAGCTTTTCCAGACATTTTTGGACACGATGAGTCTGAAATTGAGAAAAATAAGACATTTTTTTTTAAACATCTACAAGATATATGCGACAAGGTCGCAGAGACGAGGTTTTACTGTAGTCACGAAAATGATAAAAAACTGAAAAAATCACTAGTTTTGGGTGGTAAAAACCAAAAATCCCGTACTCATTTAATTTTGCTAAATCTAGGTTTTACTGTAGTTTCTAGGATCGCTGAGTCAAGGTTTCACTGTAATTATAAAAAATATTGCTCTATGGTTTTTTGTCATTTTTGTAATTTTAGAAATTCTTTAATTCTGTCTTAAACCAATAAAGTAGATAAAAATTTCTAGATTTTTCAATCTAGATTCTAGAAATTCAAAATTGTATTATCAAAGTGGTTTGTCATTTTATTAGGTTTGCACCCCTGAATTGGAAATCCAGATTAATTTCTAGATCTCCAAAACTAAAATTCAATCAATTCTAGAATCTCAATGTTTTTGAGCTTATAAGAATGTGCTGAAAAAAATTCTAAAATCTTTGAAATTTCAAAATTCTAGAAATCTTTAATTCTGAAATACTGGAATTTCTTAAATTTAAAAATTCTAGATTACATTTCTAGAATTTCATATAGATTAATTAATAATTTACAGTTACAAATTCCTAATCCAGAATTCTAGAAATTTTCGATTTTTGTTTTTATAATTACAAAATTCTAGGATTCTAGAATTGTAAATCTTGAGTTTTAGCAATTATTTAAGGTATGAAACAGCTTCTAAAAACCTAGATTTTAAAAATTCTCAATTTCTAAAACTAAACTAAGTCCAAACTGAATTCCTAGATGTAGAATAAATCTAAATTCTACACATTATTTATTAAAATTGAAAATTGAATTTTAGAATCTCAATATATCAAAGAAGAAATTTCTAGATTTCGATTTCTAGAATTCTATTTTTTTAAATGGCAAAATTCTAGGATTCAATTCTAAAACTCAAGTTTTAGATTTAGACTTCRAAAAAGCTTCCAAAACCCCAGATTTTAACAATTCTTAAATTCTGTCTCAAACTAAAGTAGATAATTTTTTTTAGATTTTTCAATCTAAATTCTAGAAATTCAAAATTGTATCATCAAGTGGCTTGTCATTTTATTTGGTTTGCACCCCTGAATAGAAATACAGACTAAATTCTAGATCTTCAAAACTAAAATTCAATCAATTATAGAATCTCAATATTTTTGAGCTTCTTAGAATGTTCTGAAAAAAAATCTAAAATCTTTGAAATTACAAAATTCTAAAAATCTTTAATTCTGAAACAATGTAGACTTGGCAAAAGATTCTAAAAATTTACGGTTTTGGAATTTCTAAAATTTCAAAACTCTTTCAAAAATCTAACAATTCTAGGTTCTAAATTAGTACTTCTAATTAAAAAATCTAGAATACTTAGATTCTAGTTTTTCTATGCCTATAAAATTCTAGGATTCTAGGATTGTAAATCTTGACTTCGATTTGGAAATTCCTTAAAAAAATTTCAAAACTAAAACGAAAATTTCTAGATGTAGAATAAACCTAAATTGTTAAAAATTGTAGAAATTCAAATTTTCTATTCTAAGTGGTGTCATTTTGTTAAGTTTGCTAAATCTAGGTTTTACTGTAGTTTCTATAAATTTCTATACTGCTAGGATAGCTGAGTCAAGGTTTCACTGTAAATTAAAACCAGAAATAGAAAACTAGATTTTGGTAGTAAAAACTTAAAACCCCAAAGGAAACTTAGTAGTAATGAATGAAGAACGAGAATTGGATAGAGGTTTCACTGTAATTACAAAAAATATTACTCTAGGGTTTTTTTTTCAATTATTAAGCTTTTTTTGTCATTTTTGTAATCTTGAAAGCTTTAAAAGTGTTAAAAATTAATCTTTTTTCCATTTTGTCAACCATTTCGAATTGATTTCGAATGTAGCCATAAACATGCATTAAACATTCCTTTTATGGCTTCAAAATCCATTTGATGAAGTTGATGAAAATGTGCAATTAGAGTTAATAGTTCTAATGAGAGTAGTAAATGAAAATTTTAGGTCTAAACTACCTCCATGTGTTTGCATTTGAATGTTTTCAAATTCGTGAATATTTATTTAAGTGTTTATTCATTAATTTTTTAATTATTCAAATTTTACGATAAGAGACCAAAAATCATAAAGTTTGGTAAAAAACATATTTTTTGAAGAAATTAGATTCAAACAAACCCCAAAAAAATACAAATCTGAGTCAATTTTGGTCGATTCATCTCATTTTTAAGCCAGAAACTTACGTATTTCGCAGAACCAAAAAATCACTAAATTGAAGTTATTTATGAGTGTTTTGTTCGATTAAGCTAGTTTTTGGACGTGATTTTATCAAAATGATGTCAAATTGAGCCGAAAATTGCATTACTTTTGACTTTTTCAGATACTTAAGAAAAATTTTCAGTCAAAAATGAAGTTTCGTCCAAACAAGCTAAAAAGTGATGACATTTTTGCCTTTTTCAAACATTTCAGAGTGTTTTTAAGCTAAAAACTTTTTTTTTCATCATAAAAAAGGTGAAAAAATCACCAAATTAGATTGAAAATGATGTAATTTTATCTTTTTTGTGCGTTTGAACACAAAACTCTCATGAAACTTCACAAAAACGGACCAAAAACTATAACAAGCCGAAAAATCACAAAATTATGTCAAAAATGGTCTAATTTTTGCTTATTTTCGTATGTTTTTGAGTAAAAAACCCAGATTTTTCGTCAAAACAAACCAAAAAATATGTCAAAGTTGACGCATTTTTTTAATAAAAGCAAAAAAATAGAAATATTTGCTTAAAATATGAGTGGTTTAAATA